ACGACTAATAATAGACTACATTGAGTTAAAGATATATTGTCCACTTATGAAACCACGAACATAATGTTACCTTTTGGCCTGTTCTCATGTAATATATATTTTGTTTGTACTATTATGAAAATATTATTCCTCTCAAATTATTCCTCCCAAATTATATTTAAAAGAACATACATATATTATTATATTTAAAGCTGAAAGTGAAATCATGTGTGGATCCAATCTGGCTAATACCCTCCTTAATTATATAGTTATATATAAACCTGTTATTGACAGAATTGAGAACATCAATAATTAATAAATTAATTTTTTGTGCCCCATGTTTATTGATCTTTTTGTTATAGCTTCTGATATATTTTTGCATACAGAATGAGAGAATTTTAATAGAATCAAATATTTGGTGTCTTATGGTCTTACCAATAGATTAATTTCGTTGGGCAGTAAGACATTAATTAATTCATTATATAGCGAAGTTTTATGTTAGATTTTGTCACATTTAAATAGTGTTTTACAGTTCATTATTGTATAGCTAAAATAAATATTTCTTACTTTTTTTTGTTTTTTGTCGACAAATATTTTTTACTCTAATTTTTGTTCTGTAAAGAATCAAGATTGCTTGTTTAATTTTCTCGAAGGATAGACTTAATATTAAGGAATGAAATCCAGTGATCTTGTCTTGGATTCTTTCGACATAAATATATTTGAATAACATAATTGATGTTTAGTTACTATTGTTACTATTTGGTATTTATGCATATAGTTTCATGAAGTCTTAATAACTTATTTGGATCAACACTTCATCTGATTATTGTAACATTTTATGGATATAGTTTAATGAAATCCTAATAACTTACCTGGACCGAGACTTCACGTGATTATATATAAATCATATGGAGAAATTGACATGAGAAGTTGAGCTAATCATGTCAAACAAGTAGATGTAGCAAAAGAAACTAACATTCACATTACACGTTTTCATATGTTAACCTCCAAACATTTTTTTGTTTTTATGTTTGACGCCTCAAAATCATTGATATATTAGTGAAAGACAAACCTCAAAATCATTGATAGATTAGTGAAAGACAAACTAAACATGCGATTGAAAGAAAATCTGAGTTAATTGGATTCTACCTGAAACCACCTATTTTTTTTTTTTTGTTCTTTTCCCAAAAATTAAAGTTTTTTTTGTTTTTATAAACTGTGGGACTTCCAAAATTTTGGTTCATAATCTCCTTGGTATCCGGAGACAGTCTTTGGATATTCCGATTTAAAGAATAACTCTCCATTCCGAAGGGGGGTTTGAACCTAGGACACAAAGAAACCAATCCCTTTTGTTACCACTAGGCCACCACTCCTTTGGTATTTTTGGAATGTGTTACCACTAGGCCACCATCCATTTGATATTTTTGGAAACCAAAAATTAAAATTGTTCGAAATTATTTTTTGAGATCTGCCTGCCGGTTGATTTACGGTGAAACTGTTTCATAACTATACTTTAGTATTAGAATATAACACCATTTGAAAGGATGTTATTCTTTTCAAATAGTGCGGTATTATAATTTTTTTTTTTTTTTTGAAAACGCTATTAGAAATGCTCTTATCAACTTTGATTAATATATCAAGACTTTATTAAATGAAACAAAAAAAATATTGTTAGGATACTAACATTGAAATTGTGTACTTTAAGCTGAGTATTCTTGCCACCAAAACGTCTATGGACGAGCAAGTGTGATTGAAATCGATCCAACTCTGCCGAAAAAGAATACTCATAGTAAATCCTTCAACCAGTTGACAACTACAAACTTGGCTCTAGCCTATTCATTTTACTCAGATTAGTGTACTATAATATTGTACAACTTCAAATCTATATTATATATATAAATGATTGAGACAACGTTTTACAAGTCACAAGATCAACTTCGAAAGTCCTTGTCAATGAAATGAGAAGTAAGACAAAAAAAATCAAATGAAGGAAACTACACTAGTGAGAATCTTCGAGCGACCTAATTGCTTCGAAGGATATGAAAAATTTGCATATTTGAAAAATTCGTAAGTCAATGAAGTTTCGGGCTATTTGAAAAGGGCCTTCTTAGACTTCGGCCCATAATTTTATTGTTTGGTCACTTTATATTTCTTGAACCGAACGGTCAAATATGGAACCAATTTGTGAACAATGATTCTCGTACTGTATGTTTAGTTGGAATTCTCGAATCTTTTGATATCACTTTCTATATCTTCTTGGCGGAATCAATTAGTCTTAATATTATTATTAGCATATAAGTGGGCTCCCAAATTCGAATCCAAAAAATCCATGAAAACGTATTATGTGCGGTCGTGGCCACTAAGCCACACTATACTCTTACAAAATGAAAGAATAATAAGTTACTAAAATATACTATAAATTTCAATTATTCAACAACAACTTTTTTCTTTTCTTTTATAATTGACTCATGTTTTCCAAATTTAGTGGACATTGAAAGAACAACTCATCTTGCATGATTTTTTAGCATAAAGTTTACACATTTGGCCAAAATAATGCTCACTAAATATTTGTTTTTAATAACCACTCACACGCTCCTGCGCGTGGGCTAATCATTAACCTATGGCCCCACGTTAAGCGCATGTTTCATCAAATCTTTCTCTGGGGGCTCTATAATAATTGGTCCGTACATCACACGCGCTTAGCTTGCGCGTGATACTAATATTGCAATATTTTCCGCCCGTTACGAAGTCATGTCGAACTAACCGTTAGGATTCTGGAACTAATTACTTTACTGCTCAATAAATTCTCCATTAAAAGAAATTGATAACATCAACGGCCAAAAACGCCAAGGCAAAAAAATTGTTCCTAAAAGTTTTTCTGTTTGTTTTTTAATCGATTGGTTAAACAGAAATTTTAGAACAATTTTTGGATTATACATTTACATTTAGAGCTGTCAAAATAAATTAAACTCATCCTATATAATCTGTTATGCAAAGAGAGGTAAAAGATTATATGCGCTATAGCAAATCGACCTACAAAAATCTATGGTTCTAAAAATATTAATTTTAATATGCATTGTTCGTACAGAGAATTATGTAAAACAAGTTAAGATTGACA